TGGAAAAAGATTCACTATTACATACATTTTTTCCACACATTTTGTTGAAAGAATCTTCAGAATAATATGTACATTTATTGGCTGAGTTCATTACTGAAGAACTGTTGAAAAAGTTAGAATCCGGATCCCAGTTGTCTGTATATTTCATCCCATTTTCATTATCCAATATAAAGGGATTAAACACCCTATCTGTATAATCAAATCTAGCATTTGTACTGTGTATACATGATAAAAATTCAATATCTTCTAAGTAGCAAAAAGGAAAGAGCGCACAGCAGTCAGAACATATCCAAGATATCCAATAATGTTGGCTATGTTTAGTAATAGGAGTGCATTGTTTATGGAATGGTTTCTTACAACATGTACAGGAGACTACATTTTCCCCACCACAGCACACTTTCTTGTTGCAGCGAGGACAATATGTTTGGGTTCCTTGTTTACTATTAACAATTGTAGTAGAAGACATAGTTATAATTGATATACATATAAATATACAAACATAAGAACAAAACTTTCAAGAGGAACATTATGATCTAAGTGTCCGGGTTTCGATTCTTTCGGATGACTAATCTGTCATAGCTCAGTACCGCATACTCTCCACGACTCCTAGCGGCTCTCAGCTCAGGGAGAAGTTCTGCTCGCTTCTTTCTAACTGCATCGGAGAAGTCTTCATTAATGTACATGTGCGTGTTCTTTAGATGAGATCTTGCTTTGTTTAGGATAAGCTGTTTGTCCTTGTACCTTAGCAGTTTTACAACAACTGGCCTCGGTCGGGGGTTATTCTTATTGAATGCACCATTCCGGTGTGCCCTCTCAATCTCGATGTCTTTCGCTTCCAGCTTTAGGTTCTTTGTGATTATGTCCCGAACCTTAACCTCGGTGTCAGCCCAGGATTCACTGTTATTATCTCCTTCAATACCATCGATGATGATGTTGTTTCGTCGGCTTTGATTCTCAAGGTAATCAACCTTTTTGGCCATCTCTGATTCTACTGATGGTGTTGGGTTCTTTTTCGAATCTTTGTCTGACGCTTTAAGTGAGTCAATTTCAGCTTGTGAGAATTGAAGGGAGGTCTTTAGTTCCTGTACTTCTCTCACCAACGAGTCGATCCGTTTGTTGGAGGATTCCATTAGCATCTGAGTGAAATTTTGAAATATGGATTCCTGTCGTTTTAGAAGGTCTTCATAATGCTGTTTGTTTTGTTCAAGCATTTCTTTCATTTCTTTAACAGTAACCACATCATCGTCGGTTTGCCCTTTTTGGTTGCGTGTGTTTGGCATGATTAGGAGTGAATGTAAGAGGGAACGATCCCACCTGCGTGATGACGAGATTAGTCTTGTTATTTGCTGCACCTGGACGTCTCCGTCACGTAATTTGGGGTGGGTGGTGGGTCTGAAACAAAGATCAGATCGCGGCAGCCAACGTCCAAATAAAGTAAACTATATGGACAATAATTGTAGATGGCAGTGAATACAGAGGTCTCAATGACACTTACCGGCGGGGGCTCCGGTAAAGGAGCCCGCTGCGGTGAAATCGCTCACTGGGGGACTGATCGAACTTCACGTCCTTTTCAGTCGTAACTATGGGGGTCTTCTCGACGGCTGGTTTCAGCTTTACTTGTCCAAATTCACCAGATTTCCTGCATCAGACTACTCTTCAGCACATTAACGTTGATATTCGGTGACGATTTCAGGATGATGACACGTTTGTTGGAGGCTTTTAACGTTTAATGTGAGGAACTCAGCTCAGAGAAGAAACAAAGCATCCATCTTGGACGAGACCATTTTTGCTTTTTTTCAATCATGTCAGTTTGAAGGCTAGAACTCTGCAAAGCATTCACCAGCTCTCCTTTTCTTATCTGCACATTGCATGCATTCCACAACAAAACAAACCAAGCATGTATCCTGGGCAAAATACTAAGTATTTTAAGCTTCAGCCTGCTATTAAAGGTAGCAAATGGGTACCATATTTTTTGTTTATAGGGAGTTAGGCAGCATGGAGAAGTTTTAGATTGGAAACAGTGACTACATAAACTACTTGTTATTCTTGTACGCCGTGAGGATAACAAGTATATATCATGTGGGACGCTCTCATTTGCATGGTAAAAAGAACACCACGACCTCAAAATCTTGGTAAGCCCTGAGGGGTAAGGACCTCTATCAGGGTGCTATGCCCTTAGTATTATTACTGCTTTGGTTGCTAAAAAGAGCAACATTGCATTAAAATTTTAGTATGCCCTGCGGCAAGGATCATACATGTATGTCAAGGTCTAATGTAATTACATGTATTTGGTTAGGAGCAAACCCTGTATACTGGTGTGCAATTGGTGCGAGTCGTGCGACCTTCATAGAAATGACCTTCTTACGAAGGGCATCATTATTCGGAAAACTAGCCTCTGGGCAGCTATGATATCCTGCTCGATTGTAATCTGATGCTTAGAACTGAAAAAGACCACACCAATCACGAGACATTAATTTTCACCATACTAAGATAGCTGTTTGTTACCAACTTTGTGTCAGTTATGGGGTTAGGCAACATGGAGAAGGTTGGGGACTGTGATATTTTCTTCTGTACCAGACATATTATCAATCAAATCATTCAAATATCTTTTTTCTTTTGACTGGAATGCCCTGTTGGCCTTGGTGGCTCTTCCAAAAGGTCAAGGGCAGGGGGGAGGGGGTTAGGGGTTGGTAGGCACAGGATCACAGGTAATAAATAAGTTAATACAAAAATAAATAAACACCTAATGTAATATTAACTAGAGTTCCACGATCTCATACCTTCGCCAAATGATGTTAATCTTCATGACAAAGTAAAGATTATTCCTCCTGATTATGCAAATAGGATCCTCATTTGCATGAATTATATAAGTTGATCATATTCTCCAACAAAAGACAGCCTTATCTTAACAAAGAAAACCATTCTACCATTTCCTCATAAATTATGCAAATGAGGTCCTTATTTGAATAAGTTATGTTTAATGATGTTCACCTTCACTTAACTTTCAAATACCCCAAGTATAAAATTCTAGGCAGTTACCATTATGGAATTATAACATTTTCTTATTAATTATGCAAATTAAGAGTTAATTTACATAATCAAAAACTTCCTGTGTTTCTCTCGTTCTCAATTACATATGTCACAAGCTTGACTAGTCCTATAATGTAATGCAGCTGATTTATAGAATTTCCTCATTAATTATGCAAATTACATCCAGATTTGCATAATTGTTGCATAATTATGTCAAGCGTCACTTAAGTTTCCTACATACCAAAAATCATGAAGATCCGTCCTCCGGTTCTTGAGTTATCCTCTTATGAATATTTTCAAAGAAATGGCCCTGCAGTTCCTGAGCAAGCCGCTAGGGGGCCCAAACCTATGTCAGTTGTTCCCCAGCACAAGACCTACGTACCATCCAAATTTCGTGACCCTAGCATGTCTAGATTATGAGATATCAAAACCGGAAGTTCAGCTGCAGTACCATAAGAAGCCGCTAGGGGGTCCAAAATCTAATCATTTCGAGGTCTCATCAAGACCTACCCACCTACCAAATATGAAGTCAATCCATTGAAGCCTTCCCAAGTTATCATGTTTACAGACAGACAGACAGACAGACAGACACACACACGAACGCCTACGAAAACATAACCTTCTTGGCGAAGGTAATAAGTTGTCCAATATATACTCCTCTATCACTGTCATTTATCAATACATGTACAGGTAGCAATCCATAACCCACTTACCAAACTAGGTCACAGGTCTCAAGGGAATGGACCAATCTTCCATTAATACCACTTCTGCACAGTTTCAGCCAAATCACAATGATGTGACAAGACAGGAATTTAAAAAAAAATGTTTGATGGCATTTTTGAGTAATATTTTTCCACTGAAGAACACCTCTCCACTCTCAATTGCCTTGTTGCCATAATGATACTTTTTTTGACACAACAAAGCTTAATACTTAGTAGTAAAATTACCTGCAGTTTTACTGGTAGTAACTTCTTCCTTAGACCCATACCTACCTACATACATACCAAGGTAAACCACCAAAAAAAATATCTGTCACCAGTGTCAACTGTTTTGTTGGACTGGTCTGTTCAAGCAACATGATACTGTAATTAGGATTACCTGAGTTTGTGTACAAGCAGCTTAGCATATCTAATTAGGCATACATGCTATCGTTGTCTGTGTCATCTGGGTTGCCATGCCACCACCAAACTTCCTAAGGCCATATTTAATTTGTCCAAAATGTACTCTGTCTTCCACAGGACGTATACGTACTATCTACCTTTCTATTCCCAAAATGGAGTAATCCATTTATATGGAGAAAGGAATATCATAACAAATCATGTGTAGGAACTTAGGAAAAGTTTATTCCATAACTAAACTTTCCTATTCTTGTACAGGATTTTTAATATAATAACTTAGTCAAGGACAGTACAGAAACATTTAGTGCTTTTGAAATTATTTCTTTTTGTGGCCTAATCTTGTAACTGAAAATAGATTACTTAGAAAAAAGGAAGAGCAGGTAAGTGATGCATTAAGGTGCAACAGTTCTTTTGAAAAGAACACTCTCTTTGTCAACTTTCAATGCTTCAATGAACATCTGGAACCACCAATCAATGAACTAACCTGCCATGCCCTTTCAGTGCAATAAGGTGAGATAATACCTTAATCTGTCAAAATTTTATAAATCTGCCCCATTAAAATTCTATCAGGCCAAACATCCTGGACCTGTTGTCCTATGCTATAAATAATAAATAAGGTAACTTGGCAAGCAAAACATTGGCTTGCAAACTGGACAATTTCTTGTCTATATTACTTACCACACTGTTTTATGTAAACATAGAAATTGAAGACAGTTCCTGGCAAGAGATCCTGGACAAAATTCTAGAGGTATATGCTATAACTTATACATACTATAAGTCATTATAGTCATTAGTCATTGCAATGGTAAGTGGGTAACCTTACTAGTAAGTAGGTCACACTCATTATTTTTGCCTTAAATTACTGGCTACCACACCCATACATTACCAGTAAAAATTACACTGGGATGGGATGTGAATTTTTCCCTAGTTTGCTGCTTTGAGTTGCTCTTTGTTTTATGTAAAACTTGAGAAAATACACTTTTCCAGCTTATCACAAAGTTGAATGAAAGTGTATCTCCTCAAATCCTGAGTATATTTTATACAGAAATTTTATCTTAAATGCTGACAAAGCACTTTCACTCTTTGAAGAGTTTCCTACTTAGATTCTTTTTTTTTTAGATGGTAATTTAATTTAGTAAATTAGATAGGACTTAATAAGATTATGTCAAGTCATGACATTGAGCCCCGCCCTCTGAGTTCCACCCCTTTACGGTCCATTTAACTCCCTGTGCGCAGCTGACACATGTACAAAACGTGTCATTGATTCGTGCTGGACTCACAAGCTGACAACACTGTCTACATACCCAGTATGTAATGTTACACAAAAGGAACGCTACCATACACTGACTGGATTCCAGGCGACACTTTCCGTATTAGAGGAAACAAGCAGATGCAGTAGAAAATGATAATAGAATAAAAAGTATTTCTTTCGTCGCACTGGAAGACTTTTACTTTCTCTGGGGGGTCGGTTTGACTTTGAAATTTATAAATGACGACCTAGACGTTCTGACCTAATTTTTACTCTTCCATTCAAAGCACGTTTTCGAGGACAAAACCACGAAATTACGGACTTGAAGGACTTTTTCCACGTACCTTACACTCCTGTTATTGCAGAGACACCTGGTAGGACGAACCGTTCTGCTCAGAAGCGCCGCGTGCCTGAGGAAAACAGCTGCCTGTCTGTAGGACACTTCCATTTTTTCCCTGCCAACTCGTTGTGTGCCTCAGATGACCTCTGGCTGCAAACATGACCTTTTCCGTCTCACCTTTGACCCCATTTCCGGTACACTCACTTCCGGTCTGAAGAAGCGCCCCACTGCGCATGCACTTCATTACGCATGCGCACTGACAACTCTACACACCCGCTGCCATCCCGATTTCCGTCCAAGAGTAAATCTTGATCGAGTAGTCTTAAGATTTGATCAATTTTTAGCGGTTAGAGGCGACATATTGGCGGGAATTTCGGCCTTTTGGAACGACAAGAGATGGCCAGAGAGTATGATCACCTTTTCAAGCTACTGATCATTGGAGATAGCGGTAAGTTGGAGACAAAAAGAACGGAGAGAGGACGCTACACTGTTAGGACCCCCATGATTTAGGACCGCAAACATAGCAGGAAATCATGTAGTGGCGTTTTTACTGTTTGGCAGACCAGGAACTCCGTTGATTTACACGATTTCCTTTCTACATCGGGAAAAAGTTCTCTCGTTCACTTTGCCAACAACGCTAATTATAAATCACTGACGGCAAAATCTGTTCAGTTACAAAACTTGCCGGTCAGTTAGACCCGGAAGTCGTCCAACTACAGTATGTCAAAACTGACTCATCTCCTTACTTCTCATGCATAACTGGCAAAATTATTGTCGTGCTCTTTTCTGCAAATTTTTAGTTCTTCTTAGTATGTACTTTGAAAAGACTGCGTTTGATTGTAAACACCCTTTTCATTCCTCTACTTGGCAATCAGAATAAAAGGATGGGCGTTGTCGTGTTACTGTTTCCAGTCCACGCGAAAGTTGTGTCGGGGTTGTAGGAAGCGTCCATCCGGCCTTTCTAAATATGGACTATGTCTAGGCTGTATAATTAGTGTATTATGGACTAGTCTATCCCCGTCATTTGACACCTGGATATCGGATACGTTTCAGGAACAATAACATAACAACACCTGTTTGTTGTGTATGGATGCGTGTTATTTTTGAAGGTATAAATTATGAAGGTATAAATTTTGGATCTTAATCTTAAGCACTTTTGTCTTTTCAGGTGTTGGCAAGAGCAGCTTGCTGTTAAGGTTTGCAGACAACACATTTTCAGGTAAGTGTGACTGTTAGTTAGGGAATAAAGGAGGTTTGCCTAGAGGACATGTGTTGGTGTGTTTTTCCATATATGGAAGGTTACTTACACACATGTTGTTGCAATTGATCACACTCAAATCCAATCAATTGCAGGCCAATTATGGGCACCCCCCTCTCTGGGACTATTGGGCTTTCACGCTTGGTTAACCAGGAAAATTCCCTGGTTTGGCTCCCAGGCCAACTTTCAGGAATTCAGATGACCTTCACACGGCTGTTAGCATGTCATCCGTGGTTAGGACAATGCAGGTTCTTTTGTCTAGCAAGTGTCTACTGTAAATTGTGAAACTTCCGCTGTGGTTTTATTTTGTGTTAGGCAGGAAGGGGACATTTTCATGGTGTTTTATATTCGCGGTTTCAACCATTCTGTAGTACAGTAGTTATACAAGGAAGACATATTTGTGATGTCATGAATTCATGTTGGAGATGTCACTTCAAAAATGTTAAAATAAAACCACTGCAAAAGCTTCACTATTACACTACTACAATGATGCCTGATAAAATGAAATATCAGTTTTAAAAACACCACCTTAATCATTATTGTTATCAATGTATATTTTACATTTTATATCTACATACAAAATTGTAACAAAAACATGATGATGGCTGTAGTTTTAGATTTAGTCACAGAAAATTACGCCCAGACACATATTCAAAACCCTCATTTCCCACTGAGAGTATAATGTCAACAGAACAGTAATGCATTATACATTGTACATAATGTTCCCAGTATAGAGAGAACTGGGACTGTTGTATCTGAAAGAATCTGGAATATTTTCCAATTTCTGGTCATATTGTGGCCAGGGCCATTCATTACTTTCATACGGTACCCTTTAGCATGCAGTAAAGGGCTGATAAATTGTAAATAAGGGCCTCTGGAGGACTATACCCGTTATTACATGTCATTTCACGCTTGATAGAAAGATGTCATATTCCTGGGGTCAGCCTGGGGTCCACATGAGGCCCCTGGTGAGTGAGATATGAGTCAGACATTAACATAATTTGGTCCCTTTTGGAAAACCCTGAAATCAATCATGTTTTATTACAGGGGGCAGCTGTAGTTATTATTTGCTTACAATGTATGTAAATAATGTTTGTAAACAAGTCAGCCAAGTGTCTAAGAATGAATGTTTAAATTAAAGGCAATGAAAATTATGTACATTAATATATTACATTCATATCTAACAAGGATAACTTCAGATTTCTTGTAGAGGATGAAAAATTTACGTAATTCATAAATACTAACAGCCTTACAGGTTATGGCAGTTGTACCATATTTTCATTGTGTCCAGTGGTACTTAAGATATATCTCTCTCTGATAGTCCATCGATTTTCCCCAGCAATTTGTGACAATATAAATTAAAGCTCTTTACAGTGAACTATTGCAAAATTTATTGTCTTTGGAATTGCTGCTAGAAAATTTATTGTGTAATCACCCGGTTGTTTTCCCAATGGTTAAACGTTAAGGTTGACCCGTTTACTGCTCCAGGAAAAAAATTGTTTCTGGCTCTGGTCCAATGTTGTAGTAATGGAGCCTTCCAAGCAAGGCACAAAAATCAATGTCTGGGGTCGATGCAAGAACAGTTAGAACTGCACTGTAATTACTCAATGGTTGACTCTGATCATGATTATACAGAGGACTTCCTTTGAAGACACCTGTCTCATCTGTGAAAGTGAACGTAAAGCAAGTTTGTTAGAATATGATATTATGATGTTGTGGTGGTAATATATTATATATAATGACATCTTCTCCCTGCATGGGGTAGTTTGACAGAAGACTAGCCTTTGCCCACAAATTTGGCTCACGGGGACTTTTTGATTGATGGGGGTGTGTTTGGTGTTCGACCATTGCTGCCAATTACTTGCCATTTGTGGAAAGGTGTACCACTTGTGAGGAAACACTGGCCAAAGTGCACATGGATCAGGGCTCAAAATTCAGTTGTGGGAACTGGTGAACATGATCTGAAAATTTAGATGTACAGAAAAAATTTAGTGCACAGGTATACAACATAATGAATTTCAGCAAAATCTGATTACACTTTATAAAGTAGCATATATTTGCAAATGATGAAGATCATATCAAATCTTTGACTTTTGAGGAAGCCAATTAATCTTCTCCCTGCTGCTTAACTCCATAACCAATAGCCAAATGGCTACTTGCAAAAGAGCAGTGCGTGTACTCTTCTCTGATTGGTGTGTTTGCCGACTGTAGGTACGTATATCACCACCATTGGCGTAGACTTCAAGATCAGAACGATAGAGGTAGAGGGCACTAAGGTCAAGCTGCAGATATGGGACACAGCCGGACAGGAGCGTTTCCGCACCATCACGTCCACGTAAGTTCCCGCGCCGCCTTTTCCTCAAAACCATCCCCAACCCTCTCCTCTTCTTTGTCTCTCTACGCTACATCACAGGTACCTACATAACGACAATTGGTGTGGATTTCAAGATCAGGACGACGGAAATGAATGGAGAGAAGGTGAAACTTCAGATCTGGGACACGGCCGGGCAGGAGCGGTTTCGTACCATCACTTCCACGTGAGAGTTCTTACCTTTGATTCCCGTCGCTTGTTGTTCCTCCACTGCAGGAGAGAGCGTAACGCCCGGTGTCGTCTCGTTCATCCATTCATTCAGCCATTGACTCATTCCAACCATTACGCAAACATGTTGTGGTGTAGCCTCCTGTGCAGACGTCTAGCAGGGCAGCATTTGTTTCCACAAGTAGCTAGAGCGTCAAGTCTAGTTTTGGGGGAAGGCCTTGTTTGGGGGGAAAGCTGTATCCACGGAGATAACTGTATTTTGTTGGAGATTATGACTCCCTACATGGCATAACACCATCTGCTGAATTAGAGCAGCCAAGCCTGTGTAAAAAATCACATATCAGTGCTCCCCTTCCCCCCAAAAAAATTAAATGTCGCCACTCAAAGAAGTCTGTCAAGGAGGCTATTGTGTATGTCTTGTAGCTGAGTTACTGATTTATGTGTATGTGTGTGCGTACAATGTGTGGCTGTAGTTTATCCATTTACCTTTTCATTTCTGCACATGGAAGAATATCTGCATGTTGGACCACAGCATGAGGCCTGACCAGAATGCTGCACTATTTTTTTCAACCACAGCATACGGCATGTTTACAGCATATTTCCTAACAGTGTTTTTTTTTCACCTGCTTGTTTATTCTTTGCATGTTTCCTAGTTGTTGTGACATGTACATGTTGTACTTGTATGTTTTGTCACTGTCTTTGTTAGCTTGTGTAATCTTTGTTTGAATTTGCACAATGGTCAAAGTATTAAACTTTTTGATATGTTTGAAAGGATGGCAGTTTCTTTACGACTTACCGGTAAATGATTTTTGTATGATTTCTACCGGGTATTTCAAGAAATGCATCGCACACAAGGGATGAAAAGGCTGATTTTTCTGTATTGAAATTTTCTAACTCATTGTTTTCTGACAAAAAAACACTTCCCTCTCAGAAAGTCTGCAAGCTACTTACATTGTATAATCGTTTTCAAAAACATATCTTTATTGTTAAGCTGTGAAACTTCTTGTCCAGGTATTACAGAGGGACCCATGGAGTTATAGTGGTGTATGATGTCACCAGTGCAGACTCATTCGTCAACGTCAAGAGATGGTTACATGAAATAGACCAGAATTGTGACGTGGTCAACAGGATACTAGGTAGGTAATGTGCTGTTGTAAATAGTAATACTGGTACTAAGTAATAGTGTGTTCATGCAAGGACATTTTGGGTTTTATTACCATTGCAAGATGAAGCAATGCCTTCTAGCAGCTGTCTTTCAAACTGCAGATTATAAACATGTAATGTGAAAACTGTAAGCAGGCATAAAAGATTTCATGGTAGCAGTCTGGCTATGTTTCCTTTAATTATGAACTGGGATTGGAACTAGTGAAGTATCATGAAAGGATTCAACTTCTGTAAGAAGTTATCTGCATTAATTGCATTGTTTTTTCCAGTCTTTTTTTCACCAAAGATTCTCTCTAAGCAATGCCATAGTTGAAACAATCTTACTATGTACTAATGTATTTCACAACCAAAGTTACTGGCATTGCACCAGACTGAGAGCATTTACAAGCTTAAGGCCATCTGGAAAACCACAGGCATGATCAATGATAGCTAGGCTAAATACCCTACACAGGAATGGCTTGACACATACAGGGCAGCACGCCAGACTTGTAAACGTCTTTATAAACTTTGACACCAACTTTCTCTTTGTTGAGATGAAGGGAAGAAAAATGTTTGCTTTAGGCTACACCAATGTAATTTCTTGGATCTGCTCACTTAATTTTTGATTTAACCAAAAAAAACATACCTGTACCATTCAAATTTTGAATCAAAAATTCTCATACCGATATTTTGGCACCAACAGTTGAAGGAGGTCCTTGTCTTCCTAGCTAGTATTTCCATTCATCTATGCATTACTTCAATTGTAGTTTATGTAGTACAATTGCAGTTATGGTGAAGGGTCATCACTGGTTTAACCTCCTCCCTGCTAAAGTTGCCATTTGAAACCAAAATCTGTATTGGTTCTGGTGTTAGGCAGCAGGGAGAAGGTTAACCATGATGATGATTTTCTTGGCTTCAGTGGGAAACAAGAACGACTGTCCCGAGAGGAAAGTGGTGGAGACGGGTGACGCGCAAAGGTTCGCTGACCAGATGGGCATCAAACTGTTTGAAACCAGTGCCAAGGAAAACATCAACGTGGAAGAGGTAAGACTGGGGGCAACTTTATCATGGATGTCAATAGGGAGAAGTGGAAAATTGGGAGAAATAGTTTAAATCATGGTACCGGGTAGTTTCATTTTTGTGGTTTTCCCTCTGACCACGATATCATAAGTCTGTCTTTAGTATAACTATATATATATATATTACAGAATTGTAGAATTGTTTTTGCAGACTTTAATACAGTGGATCCCAGGTCAAAAAGTCAGACACAGGAAATGGGTAAACTTTAGAGTAGGTTGACAGCACGTGGGTGGGGAAAATTGACAGGCAGAATGACAGGATGTCAAAAGGTCAGACACAGGAAATTGAGTATACATTTGTACTTGAAAGTCAAGAAAACCCCAAATGCTTTCCAGAAGACTGAAATCTCTGATTTCTTCTTTCCTTCTCAGATGTTTAACGAGATCACGAGGCAAGTTCTTCACCAGAAGAAGGAGACCCAGGCCAAACTAGCAGCACAGACGAACGAGACGATAAAACTGGACAAACACAAGGGGCACAAGAGAAGAAGATGTGGTGCCGTCGGCTGCAAGATGTGAACGCCCCCCCTCCCCATTTCAATTTTGTGACGTTAGAAAAACTTTTAGTCCTTTTTATTTATGCAGTGAAGAATGAATGGTAATATTTCTTGACTTACGATTGATGTGGTTGAAAGCAGTCACCCTGAACTTTGAGTAGCACACCAGCAATCATTAGGTAAAAATTTGGAAACAACTCAAAACACATTTCTGTATGAAAATGATAGAAATGTATAGAAAATTCCAGTGCCAGTTTACTAGCTGCCAATGATGTTACTTTCCATCCTTGCGGCAGAAGTCTTCTTTAGTCATTGTACAAATTTCTGTGCTCCAAAATCATTTTAGAAAATGATTATCATTATGATCCGCCCAAAAACAAATGTACAAAATGTAATTACAACTGTCGTTTCTGGAAACATAATGTCAACAACTGTGACACTTGTGAAGTACATGTAACAGCATACTTTTGTGGCTGCAAAGCCCGCAGGAGGTTACAACACAGACTGGCTCTTTGCCAATTGGTAGGATTTATTGGAAGCAAATAGTTGCCAGCAAAACCTCTTACATCTAAATGTGCACACCAACAACCCTGGACCTACATATCTTCTAAACTGTGACGAAAGTACTTCGTTTCTAAATTTTAGAGGCAATGATATGAATCAGCAAGTCTTAGATGTTCCCATCGACCAAAAGAAGGAAATTGGGGGGCTTCTTGTAGATATCTTAAAGTGTGAATTGCAAGAATGTTTTTAAGTCCACTTCTCATGCTACCAGCCAACCAATGTTAACACTATAATCAGAATGACACTATGTGTTTGTTGCTAACAATGTATTTGTGTGTTGTATCCAATAGCCTGTTTGAAGGGGCTTGTCCAGCTCAGAGTACATAACATGACTCATATGTTGATCAGTCAAATGCTGTTTCTTGTTTGTAGCGTCTTGAAAAATCATTATCCTCTTGGACTCAGGTATTCTTATAAATTAATGCATTCTGTAACCCCAGTTACTACACAGGAAAAAGAAGTTTGTTTTATTAGGAACTTTGTAGCAAACTTGGCAACATAAATCATCAACAGGCCATGTTGTACATATCACCACAAGGGTTTATGCAAAAAAAATTGTACCTGAAGCAGTTGGATGTTTTTCAGGATTAGTGTCAAAAGCCAAGAGCTAACTAGAATGCTGAAAGTTGTTGGATCATTTAAAAAGGGAATTAAATTCAGATTCTGGCAAGTTGGCACGCTTTAAACTTGATTTTGTAAGTTTCAAATTAGTGCTGTTTTTTTGTCTCTGAGAATGTGCCAGACCAGGGATTGTCTTCCATAATCACACAGCAGTTGTGGCATGTTTCAATTTTGACTGTTTTCCAACTTGTAAAGAGAAGATGGTAATGTGGTACAAGAGTGATTTCATCTTGTCTGTGGAAATGGATATAGCCCTCTGGTTATTTTGATGTGCACTGACATCAAGGAAATTGGAACATGATTTTTTTGAGTGGAAAGGAACACCTTGCAGGTATCCTTTGTACTTGGGCAAAACCAGATAAATCACTTGTTTCCTGGCATTTATGGAGTTTTAGCCCCTGGATCCTGTATGAATTTTCAGAAGCAAGATATTTAGTTGACAAGTGCTTAGCAGGTGACATTCAAGCTGGCATTCTGTACAGTACCATTCAAAGTCCTAAAGAGGGAATCAAATTTTTAGTCATTGATATCATAATGACATTATAAGTCTTTTTAATAGCTGTCTGTAAGAACAGCTTCAATTTGCTAGAAAATAAACTGAGCCCTTTTCTGCCATAACTTTGCTGCAACCTACCTTTATGTACTTTGTGGTTTAATCCAACTCTGAAGTGTTATCATTGCATTGCTGTATGTGGGGACTGTACCACTCTCTACATTAGGGGTGGTCAGGATAGACTGTTGTTGCCTTCACAACAAAACAAAATCTGACAGCTAAAGAATAGCATACAATTTGTACATTCACTTCTGTGGTACCATTAGGTATGGATATCTAATATTAGCAGATATTTTTGATTAATCAGAAGTACATGTACCAGTATAGTAATCTAGTGTGTCAACTTATATTACAATGAATCATAGTATAGCACTAGCATAGGTTGACCAACCGTTGTACAAATTGTAAGAATCTTGATATTTTCGTGTTCTCTGCATGTTTGTATTCTAATTAATCAAAGCATGGTAGGCAATTTACTTCCTGTCAAATTATTACGTTTGAATCATTTTTATTTGGAGAGCTGATGAAAATGTGGAATACGGACAGCCATTTTACTAGATAGGATATTTTTTCGAAAAAAGAAAAGATTTTGAGAATGAAAGCCTGAACACTAGCACTTTGAACTAATTATGAACGTATGGACTAATTATGTATACTTGTGTCAGTGCTTAGCATTGGAATTTTCTGGAAAAAAAGGCTTCTTTTGAGTTTTGTGTTACCTCAGCTGCGGCTTGTATTAAATCTTGTCATGAAAGACCTTGAAAAATGCCTCATGTTTTTTTCTGCTAAAGGCACCCAAAGCAATTTCAGGCAGAAAGACTGTATTTTCAAAGTCATTTTTTAAATCTACATACATGTAGGTAATAAATTGAAGACAATCATGTTCTTCACAAACTCCATAGAATGATTCTCATACAGAATTAGCCCTCCAGGGGCTAGCAGTAACAACACTATACACATTCATGTAAAACTCACAGTAACAATGTGCCATTATAGGTCTAGATTGCAAACTGAAGGCAATTTTTTTCCGATAATCATGCATGTGTGTCACAAAAGTCAGCTGTCTTGTTACCGAAAAGGCTTTATCTAGAATCATACTGTCTAGAATTGTATAGTTCTGAACACAATGAAGAACAACTTGGGAACAAAATAGCAGAAAACACTTTATCAAATTTAATGACAACAATTTTTCAGTTTGGTCAAACTGAATTGTCTGACTTCCCTAAAAATCTATGATACTCTATGGCATAATAACCTATAGTCAAAATTAAAAGCACAAAACATACCAGAAACATTACTCAAGTCATCTGAACAATTGACAAAGACTGATACCACTGCTTACATTTACATTTATAGTAGTGTCTTGGGTAGTAAAATACTGTGTTTTATCTTATTCTAGTGTAGGCAAAACATCTCTTTTCTACCTCCTATTAATATTTTGATACCTAGTACATTTGTATATGATGAGATCAACAAAACTTAGCCCTGGTCCTATTTGAACTTTTTCTTAAGTGTCCAGTTTTTTTGTGCAAAATAAGTGATTTCTTCAGTGCAAAATAGGTGCTAAGTGACTTCCAAGTGCCAAATGACTTTTTCCATGGCTTTTTTTTCAGATTGCAACAGTAGGCCCTTGATGCTAGCCATTGATTGGTTGAAACTTTAATGAGATTAGAAGATTGAAATGGTATTGCATATTGCATAGCCCCATGATGTTCATGTGAGATTTGCATTGCTTCTGTTTAACCCTCTCTTTGCTACCTAACGCCTTAACCAATACAAATTTGTTGCCATAAGACTATATTAGCAGAGAGAAGGTTAATCACAGACGTCACATATGGCAGTAAAAGGAGTATTGTGCAAATATCTGATTATGTGCTCCAAAATTATTTCTTTGCATCCGAAGTCAAAATTCTTTGTCATTCTGAATCGAGATTGAACTGAAATTTCTGACACAAAAAAAAATGAGCTTTATAAAGATGGTTTATTTTATTTCATTTCTTTTATGCTCACCAGATACAATATGATGTCACAGAAGCAGTGGATTGTTCATTCCTTGTAGTACAAAATTTGAGTTGTACAAAATTTGGGTAAGTCTTGTTTTTGTTTTGGCAATTACAACTGTTCAATCTTGATTCAGAATGATTTCTACCAAAACAGGTGAACCATCAAACTTCTTTTACATGTAGTAGATGATTCTGCCTGACACTGTACTGGCCTTCAGTATATAAATGCATAATCTAGATCTGGAGTGTCATACAGTTTAAGCTTCAGTTCCAAATGTTTGATTGTTACTGGGCAACTTTCATCCTTTTACTGGTAGATTGCACATTTCATATCATTGTTCTGATTTTTCTAACTGACTGATTTCCTATTAAGATGTCACAGTACAGACACAAAGACCATGATTACAGAATGGTACCTTACAGATTTTGTCTTTAAGTTATCAAAACAGTTTTCAAGCATTTTTATTCAGTATTTCATCAAAAGTAAATTTGTGAGGCACAATTAAGATTTGTTACTTGAAATGTTGCTTATGAATACTTTTGATATTGATTACTAAAAATGACTAGCGTGTGAAACTTTTTGAGAAAAATCTATGATTCTTTGTAGCCGGCTGGAGAAAGTATCAAAATTGGTGATTGTCTCAAATCTAAATGATTCTCAAATCTAAATGATCAAATTTACATTTTGGAGGTGGCTTTTTGAGAGCTGGTTCCATACATTGTCGATGTACGTGTAGCAGAAATTTTATTTGGCATAGGTAAGCATTAATGAGGACCAGTTTACCAACAACATAGCAACAAGGCTCAAAAGCAAGTTGTCAAAATTATGAATAAAGAGTTAGTGTAAGAAATAAAAATCACACCCTAACCTACAAATGTAGTAATCATCTGGAATACAATAAAACTCAAGCTAGAACATAAACATGACAGTTTCACTGACTTGGGAGCACAGCTCATACAGGATATATAATACTTCTCTTTAAATATAATGTGTATATCACAAGACTTACCTACATGTATAATGATGAATGCTTTATTAGTACTGATGGGGGGAATGCAACATTAGCTTTACTTTAGTTCGTAATGGCTTAAACAGTTACCTCACGGTATACATGAACTTCTAGATGTATCAAAGTCTATTATAACCCTTGTCCTGCCAAGGGTGCTGTCATGCACCAAATCATTTTACTGCCAAAGCCACCTTCAATAATCACCAGTGTCCACAGACCAATGGCCATGCCTGCAGCTGGAAGCAACAGTTGAAAAGGTACACAACAGAAACTTTAATCTGTCTAGAAGTTCATGTATTCTTTTTACTTTAAAGAGTTACTCGGTAGATTCCATAGACAGGGATCTGCCCCGCTCCAGCCCCTTGGCCCGCTCGCGTTCCCTCTTGTTGAAAGCCTCGTGGACTCTCTCCAGATCAGCGATCACGTCCAGCAGTCTGGCCGCTGCCGCCATCTTGGCATCGTAAAACGATCGACTTCTTCTGATATCTGTAGAAAAGGCATTACATTTTAGTCATTACATTTTAGTTGTAATTCCAGGGTTTACAATTTGACCTCATTTCCTCCCAGGATGTGGGGAGACGATTTTGACCTCCAACTCGATCTTCCTGTCAGTCTATGGTTACGACATTTCCCCCCTCACTTCCTGTGACTCTAGTGTATATTACAAATACCATTACAGATACACAAGCTAATTAACAAACATACTGAAAACAAAACCTCCATATACAGACTGATGTAATTAAGAAAAATATGGCAGATGGCAGGCTTCGCCTCTTCACATAGATCAGAAATAGACAGACAAAAAAATGCTTTATCCCCTATGAAGAAATTAATCCAGGAAGTAATTCCATACCTGGTTTTGTTTTAGAATCAGGTTCTGAGTTGTGACCAGATTCTGAGCTGTTCCCTACTGAGTTCTGGCTCTCTGCCTCAGAGTTGTTGGCCTGCTCATGGGAGCTCTCAGCTGTAGACCCGGCATCTGCTAGCTCCAGGTACTTGGATCTACAGAAAAAACAGTCTGTATTTACCTGATGTAAGCAACCTCTCCAATGATATGCCAACATTGCAATCTTTAGAAAATTCTACATGGAGCAATCTGAATATGCTATCATGAAGCGAAACTACTATTATCAAGTACTAGGAGTAATAATCCTCACTACGTAATTTTAAGCAGCGCCTAGAGTTAGTAAGGAAAGCTTCTGTTGAAGACAGACAGTGGCTGTCCATGGTACTGAAACCTGTTCTGTTGTAAGTTTGGATGGGCTACACCTTCTGATTCCATGCCCTAGACACAGTGGATTAACAACCCACTGCCCCTATGGCCTCAAAAAGGACTACCGTTATCTTTTACTACCTTTTTAGGTTTGGTGGCTCATAAAAGTTGATTATCTGTTGGTACCTGAGTATGTCCCTGCCCAGCAGGATCTGGGAGTAAATAGTCTGAGCCTCGGCGTCAGGGTCCAGCGGGTCCCGCCAATCACCCAACGTCACCGCTGAGTGGGTTTTACTGCAACCACGGGCTGCAAGGAACCAGGGAAGAGCACTGTGAATTCACTAGTTTGTGTAGGGATCCAATTTTCTAGGTACAAATTTTTTAATTTTTTGCTGGTTTTAAGATTGCAGTTGAAATGATATTATGATAGCACAAAAGCACATACATTTTAGTACAAATGTATAAAAACTGCAAAAATAAACAACAGCAAATATTTCAAGATCCACAGTACATAAGAAACTGGACAGCAGTTCATGATGTTTAGAGCACAAACCTCTGCCAAAGAAGCATCTATGAGTCATTCCCATATTTTTTACCACTTTTCATCTTTGTGGAAAGATTTACATTGTATCTGTATGCTGTCTACTTCACCTTACTTCAAAAGGTTGAAGAATCCTTGAAAAACCATCAGAATATCAGTAATTAGAAGACCTGACCTGTTTTGTCCGTCTCCAGACAACATGTCCACTTGCCCGCCCTGTTGGTCCCTGGGTGGAAGGTCCCCAGCATGCGAGAGTTTGTCACACAGGTCTTCCTGATGGCTGACAGCCATTGGTGCATCTCATTCACATCCTGAGACACAATGATTACAGCATCATAATGAAAAAATAATGAAATAAAAAGTCACAATTGTCTCAAACTGCAATAAAATGTATATTTCATAAAATACCATCAGGAAACAAAAGGAATCTCCTAACATTATCACATCATATTTTAGGTTGAGGCAATATTATAAGCAAACAATAACGAAAGAATATGAAACAATATGTCACAATAAACTGCAATAAAATGCACCTCATAAAATGTGCTATGGGAAAACAAAATTTCATGGCATCACATTATAACTTAGAGCCACTGGAGGATGTTATCAGTAGTTAAGGTTCTTTGGCTTAATGGAATTTTTCAATTCTGCAGTACCTTTGCCTGTAGATAGGTGGTGCTCAGTGAACCGTCTCCATCTCTGATGATGACCTGAAACACATTGGGTCGCTGGAAGGCGTTCTCATCCACCCGCTCCACGGCACAGATGCGATGAGTCATGGTGGTTGTGCGAATCTGAAAATATTGTGCTTTATTATCTTTCTGTCCTCTCTTAGGAATTGGTATATAATAATTGTAAAGGGTTAGTCAAGTTATGTGTCTGTTCATTCATGAAAAATGTCATAAGGTTTCTTCATGCCAATTTTCTGCTTCAGAGGTAACATTACAGATGTTCAAAGTCATCAAAAACTGACAACCAAGAAATTACTGTACATTCAGTTACTTTTGCAGTGGTTTCGTTTTGCTGTCTGGGAAAAGAAGGTTTTCACTTTGTTTGGAAATTATTTCTGTACTACAATAGTAATAGAAAGGAGATATCTTTGCAATGTCAAAAAATTGTGGCAGAGCAGTCAATGCGAAAATAAAATGTCAAATGTTTCCAGAGTTACTGTAGATTGGCGTGGTTTCAAGCTGCTACATTATATAAGACTGCCATGCAAATACATGGCTCACTCTCAGACATGCCAAAATTGAAAATTACAGTCTTGGACTCTGATAAATGTCAAACTAACATCTACCTGGTCCTCCGGGGACTTGGCGTATGCCAGGGCATCATTACACAGCCAGTAGTATCTCCTCTTGAAGCTGAAGGGCATGAGGACCAGGCCGTCGTCTGCCCTGCGCCGGCGGAGGAGGTGACCTTCCTTGATTGTGACAGACTGGTGGAAGGCGCTCCGCCTCTGCGCTTCCCTCGTGGGCACTGGAGGTTCAGGTAGACAGATTATTAATTAACTGCCCACAGTTCAGTTCAGGACAAGGTTACAGTTGGGGGTAAATCTAGGCTGATAGGCTGCTGCATATATGTACTACATTCAAACGTACAAAATCTACAGTATACTAGAGTATACTATTTTTAGACAACAAATATCTAAATTTTAACAAGAAAGTAGAGCTTTCAGACTTCTGGGAGGTATGAAATCCTTGGCTTCCTTAGTTCCCCGTATTCCTGGCCCCGGCCCAATTCTGCAAGCTTCGTCCCATTTCCTCTTTTGACCTCCTGTCATTCTGCCTGTCAATCTTTCCCCAACTCACATAATGTCCATGCAAGCAGACATAGATGCACAAAACTCAGTACAATACTCAAACAAGACTTCTGTTCGTGGCAGTATTTAGGATACCATTGTTACCATCTTTGCCGTGAAGTTAGAAGAAGAAGAACAGATCAGAACTTTAATCTAAACATTGAACACTACTGGTGACTTATACACTGTACTTGCCATTGGCTTCGTCAATGTCTATAAGTTGGTCCAGGAAGTCCTGCACACGAGAGGAGCTGTCCTGTATGAAGGGGTGGAGTGGCTCCATCCACGTCTCCTTCCCTCTCCCACACTGCAAACCCAGGTTACCTATACTCTGGATAACCTGAAGGCAGAAACAGTTACCTGAACTCTGCTCTTAATTTCTGGCTGGATATGATGATGACAATGATTAGAGCAAACAGTTGAGATTTCAGACCTCCCAACCACTTCCTGAATTCCTCCACGTACTGCCCATTTACTCTGGATAACCTGAAGGCAGGAAAGTGAGCTAATAAAACATTCCTGTGGAGATCACCACATTGTGCAAGGTAATGAATCCCCAAATAACAAACCTTTGCCAGTAAAGTGCAGGTCCTACTAGTCTTGGCATCAGCGTGTTGGTCCCTAAGGGCGAAGAGTTTGGGGGACAGGACAGCCGGAGCAAAGAATCTCAGGAACAGGAAACCACTGATGGCTAGGTACTTCACATCCTAAGAATAAACATGTGTTTGCAAATGTGTCATTATGGTTTTGTAAATATGGAATCAAATGTATACAGCAAGTTACAGCATGCTATAGTTACAGTTACAGCAGCTATACTATTAACCCCTCAACTCATTGTTCTTGGGGTGTGCATCTTTTAGCCAGCTTTTCCAAAAAAAGGAGAAATACCCTGCATTTGTTGGCAAATGTTGAATCATCTAATTGTGTCGGTGCCATGCTGTACTCATGGAATCTGTCAGTATATTTCCCACCCACCTGATGCTCAGGAAATCTGTCCTCCACTCTCTTACTGAGCTGTCTGAAGGCCAGTCTGATGACAGGGGGACACTGGTCCACTGACATGACTATGTTGTCCACGATCTGTTCTAGATACCCAGTCAGGATCATCGCACTGTGCTCTAACAACTGGCCATCAGACTGTGACTTAACACTTAATCTCCTGCATAAACAACATATTAGAGATATCATGCTTTTGGGAATTACTCTGGATTATATGAATTTTAAGTTCACAGAGGTCTGGAGACTGTTTTGGGGTTTTGTGAATGCATTAGAATTGTGGATGTGGTTGTATGATGTCATTTATTTAGGTATTGTACCACTTTCTGAATTCCTCCATATACTGCCCACTTACTCCCATCTTGGATGTGATGGGTTACCTTCAGGTGTGGCTTCCCTGTCAATCAACTGTCATCAGTTCCCACCCATCTGTTGCTACATAGACAGGAAGAAACACAAACCTACAATTCAGACACCTAAAACAGTACATTTGTACTTCCATACCCAGAGGTAACAAGTAATATTGGAAAAATGAATAGCACTGACCTTCTACAGGAGTCTACTTTGCATGGATCTAACTCCACCGTCTTCTTATCTTCAAAAATCTGATCTACAACTGGTCTCAGGACTTCATGTAGGTACGGCATCCCCACAACCTTCATAGAAGGAACAGATAAGATATTGTATTATTGAGAGACATGGCTACCATGATCATGATGCATCATCTTGGTCAAGACTTTAAGACTTCAGTTAGGCCAAGACTTCATCTAGGTCAAAAGTTGAAGTTTCTAAGTCTGAGAGAATAGTATTACCTTCAGAAATTGGTCCATTGACTTTGTAGCCAATGAGTTCCCCCTGAATAATGTGTTAGGATCCTCTGTAAAAAGGAGTTGACAAATGGTTAGTAGGGTTTCATATGACTTCTGTGTTAGGAACTCAATGATGTTTTTGCTCTTTGTCAAAGTTGAAAAAGTGACCACGAATCTAAAGAAGAATTCACAAAGACACCAATAAAAAAATGAAAACAAGGATTAGAATGATCAAAATGAACAGCATAATTTCAAAGCAAATTGAAAAATAATATGGCAATGAGATGACACCTGATTCTATTTATCTAATGTACATGTAGATTTACAAATGGTATAATAAAACATTGGACAATGTTCTCACTGGTATTGTGTATCTCTTGAGTGTTGAGGGCATCTAAAAACTGGACCACCATCCCCTCCCCCAGAAAGACCTTGACCAAGGTCGTGGCAATGTCCATCCTGTCCATAGTCATGACCTCCTCTAACATACTCAGTGGGGTGGGAGTCTCTGGCTGTGAACAAGGATAGTCAGAATCAGCTATAAGATACACTGAAAAAAATGTTAATCAATCAACTGGATAAATGTTGATTTGTAAAATTTTCAAGTAGCATCCACTACATTTTGCACTCCATACTCCATGACTAACAAAATCTAGTACACACTCACCTTTAACCTAGTTCAGTGTACACCTACAATGTAAATACTAAGCTACTAGGTATACAATATTGATAGAAGACACAATATACAGCATAGCAGGACCTTACTTCCAAAGTGGTAAATGGATGGAATTCAAAATATAATGCATGCTTCAAGTGTACATATGTATCTGATCTGGAATATGTTCTTCAGTATTACATATTGAGACACTTAGATATGTATTCTAGCATTACCTCTATACTGGACTGCACAGATTCTACCAGGAGGTCCACCAATGGCTGGTAGTACTGAGAAGGCAGGATGTGTTCCTCTGTGCAGCGTACCTTCAGTCTTAGAGAGCCCAGCTCAGAGCTGTGGGCAAAGGCAAAAATCAGAGCTACCAAAAAGGCTGTCCTTGGTGCTGAAATAATTGTTATGATGATATTTCTGCTGCTAGAGACAAGCATTTTATGCTCGAGGTATTGACATTTAATGATTAAGAAGAAACTGTCAAGAAAGGATGTCATGTATTCAATATGAGCAATGTTAGGCAAAAGTCTGTCCTTGGTGCTGAATAACAGTTATGATGATATTTTCTACTGCTAGAGACAAGAGTTTATACTCGAGGTATTGATCTTTTATGATTGAGAAGAAACTGTCAAGAAAGCATGTCATATATACAACATGAGCAATGTTAGGCAAAAAGGCTGTCCTTGGTGCTGAAATATCAGTTATGATGATATATTTGCTGCCAGAGACAAGGAGTTTATGATTAAAACTGTCTAGAAAGAACTGTCTATCAACCTTTTATGATTAAGAAGAAAATTTCTAGAAATAATATCATGTATACAATATGAGCAATGTTAGGCAAAAGGCTGCTGAAAGATCAGCTTTGATGGCACATTTACTGCTAGAGATAACTGATTTATACCCTTGAGGTATTGACCTTTTATGATTAAGAAGAAACTGTCTAGAAAAGAGGTGCACACACCTGATAGCAACATATTATTATTCTACACCTGTTTCTAGTCTCAATAGCGCTCTCAAGCTGGATAATGACTGGAACAAAATGTTGCCCGGAGGAAATGCCACGCAGGCTTCGTTTAATGAGGTGGTGTTGGATACTCAATAACAGTGCAACAAGCACTCGATCAAAACTGACGTTCAGCACAAGGGACAGTTATTTTAAAAAGTCAACTTAACAAATGGCAGGAGTGTCAGGGGACAATGTTTTAAGAATATAACACTGTTGCAATTGAATTAGCATTGATGTGTGGATTGTCTAGAAACTACATTTGAAATGAGGAAATATCAAACACAGACTTTCAGTTTCTTTAGCAACAATTTTACACCAAAAAGCCTTTAGAAGTTCTCTACCTTTCATCATCTACAGTTGATGCTCTTGGACAGAGTCTGTGCCACCCTAGAACATGTTCTTCACCATGTAGTTCTGTCAGGGCCACTTCTCCCTGCAACATGATAAGGAAAGGAAGGAATGATCAGGATCCAGTTTTAGCTCACTGGAGAGCTACTCTGCCACTGGTCATGACATAGAAGAGAGATGCTGTGTACAGTATTTACAGATTTGTTGTCGGGGAAATTTGCTTTTTTTGACAAGCAAAGTAAACATTGGACCACAGTATAGTGTGCCATCCTTGGGACTGCGACACTTTACAATAGCCTGCATGTCAGGCAAGTACCAACAGCCGGTACTTAGTATTCAAACTCTCAACCTCTCGGTCCAGAGGCAGGCTCACTAACTACGCAATAACAGTAACGCTATAAAAGGGAGGCCCATTACATTCTAATCTGTAGATGTATAAACATCTACTACCATAATCCCACCAGGTCACATATATGCACCACCCTAAAAAAATTCCATCCTAAGAGATCTCCAATGCAACGTTCAATGGTTTAATGCTTGATATCTAAACTGTGCATACCTGGGGGTGCTGCAATAGAGTTTATCATCATCATCTCTCAAACATAACTTTCTCAAAGTGTACTTTTAACTCGGCAGAT